CTTGATGGAATGGCAAGACAGCATCCAGAAGGAGATTGAAGTTTTGGAAACGTCCGGCACGCTTCGTCGAATATCACTTCAAGAAGCTAAACGACTCGCGGAAGCTGGCGAGATTGTCCTCGTACCTTCGAAAACGGTACACACCGTAAAACCTCCTTTGGGGGGAAGCGGCAGTCAGTTGTACAAAAGAAAAACCAGAATGGTGATATGTGGCAATCACGTCAGCAGCGAGGTCGAAGTCTACACCGCCGCGGCCAACGCGGAATCAGTGCGTGTGGCATTGTCATTGGCTGCTCGACGGCGGTGGGCCGGAGCAGTGACAGACGTGAACAGTGCTCTTACGCTAGCGCCAATGGATGAAGCAGAGATCAAGTACGGCATCACGGTACCGAAAGTGGTTGTGGAGGCGGGAGTGGTTCCACCAAACACGGCGTACTTGGTCGACAGGGTGTTCTACGGGCTGCGAGAGGCGCCAAGACTATGGGGAAGTTTCAGAGACAAGAGGGTGCACAGAGCGCGGTTGTTTGTGGATGGCCGGGAGTGCATGTTTCTACAGATGGAAACAGACCCTGCAGTATGGAGGTTGGTGCCATGCGATGACCATAAGAACACCTTGGCGTTGATGGTGATTTATGTGGACGATGTGATGATGTTGGCGCCGGAGAATGTCATCAAGGACATCTACAAATGGCTCACCGAGGGCATTGAGGGCGATGAGGGCTGGAAGTGTTCGCCGATGGAGTGGATCGGAAAGACTCCAGTCCGCTACCTGGGTATGGATATTCGCCGGAAGGATGCAGCCCTTACCACTTTCCATGTATCGCAGGGCAGCTATGTGGGAGAGCTCCTGAAGAGTTACCCAGCCGAGGCGAGCCGACCTTCGCAAGTACCAGCCACTAAGGATACCATGCCGTTGCAGGACGACCTGGATGAGGAGGAGGGGAACGAACAAGGCGACCCAGATCCCGGACAGGTCAAACAGGCCCAACGCATAGCAGGTGAACTGCTCTGGCTAGTGACTCGCACCAGACCAGACATTGGGTATGCGACAGCCCATGTATGTGGAGCAGCCCTGAAGAGTCCTGCAGCTGCGCTTCGATTGGGGAAGATGGTGATGAGGTATTTGGCCGCCACGCCTACGTGGGGGTTGACCTACAATGGGGTGGGTGAGCCTGTCGAAGCTTTCTCCGACGCTAGCTTTGCTCCACAAGGCGATCGAAGTTTTGGTTGCGTGACTACGACGACCTACGGTGGATTCGCGGCATGGCGAATGACAAAGCAGCCTACAGTTGTTTTGTCAGCGGCCGAAGCAGAGTTGGTGGAGTTGGTGAATGCTAGTCAGCAGGCCGCCGGACTGCAAGCTTGGGTGGAAGAGGCGTCGCCAGAGGACTCTGGTAAGCCGTTGATCTTGCGGGTGGACAACACAGCGGCGTGTGGCCTGGCAACTACGGCACCAGGCTCGTGGAAGACAAGGCACTTGAAGGTCAAGGCCCGCCATCTAAGGTCTGAGACAAGTGAAGGCCGAATCAGGGTCATTCACACCCCGGGGGAAGTGCAAGCTGCGGACATGGGGACGAAGCCAGTGCCAGTGGCGAGATTGGTGGATCTTCGAAAGCTATGGGGGATGTGTTCGGCAGAGGACTTCGAAGCTGACGAAGAGG